ACATCATTAATGTTCATTCTTTCTTTCATTTCAATGCAGTTATCAGACCACATCCAATTTGAGGAATTTTAAATTAGTTGCTAAGCTGTGACATGATAAGAGGAGTCTTGGGTTGGATGAATATAAACTTTCACTGAGCCAGAACTTTCACATTTGGCCCGGTTAACAGTAAAATAAACTACCTGAAGAAGAAAAGGAAAGACTTGAGAACATAATCAAAATAAAATTAATTGACATCAGCGGTAGCTGCAATTTGCTGACACTCTCTAGTAAACAACATGGAAACAGACTTGGGGAGGTGATCACTGGAAGTGTTTGATGCTGTATGAAGGAATAGTTTTTTTTTTTTAATTATTTCACTGTTATTACTAAATCATTGCTATGTCGTGTTTAACCCATACTGTATAAATCATCTGATGAAGATTCATTTCTATCTAATTTTTTGTTATGAGATACAAATGTTGACAACCCCAAGAAATACAAGATGATAATTACCTAGTAATAGGCATTTTTTTCAGACCTACTAAATCAAGACCTGATTCAGGGAGTATAAATTTACATTTTAAAGAAAGACCCCAGGGGCACCTGGGTGGCTCAGTCAGTTAAGTGGCTATCTTCAGCTTGGGTCATGATCCCGGGGTCCTTCCTGGGATCGAGCCCCGTGTTGGGCTCCCTGCTCAGCAGGAAGTCGGCTTCTCCCTCTCCCTCTGCCTCCCCCAACCCCGCACTTGTGTGCTCTCTCTCTCTCAAATAAATAAAATCTTTAAAAAAAAATAAAGAAGGATCCCATATGACTCTTAAGCACACAACCAGTTTAGAACCAGTAGAAATAGGGCTTTTTATTTTAGTAGTTACTGTATGTTGAACCCTTCCAGTCTTAAGGAATACTACAGGACTGTTAGGGGTATACTGGTTGTTGAAAAGATTGCTTTGGTATCAGTGAAAAATAAATCACTATGACATTTTGGCTTGAGGTAAAATTACGACATTGCCTATTGAGAAAGGTGAAACCCTTCCATTGACTGACCCAGGAGGTTCAAGGATAATTGGAGTTGCCAAGTAGGTTATGACACATGCCACTTTGGAACTGCTTGAGGCTTGCTGAGTGATTCTTGCCACATGATGGGGTCCTCGGGGACCTGTTAAATTCCCTGAGGATATGGAGGATTGGACACTGTCCCATTAAGTGCCAGAATCTGTACAGGGATCTTGAAAAACACAAATGAAAGCTAGATAGAAGCTTAAATGCTGCTCTTGAATACCAATCCTGTGGTCAGAATTTCCCATCAAATGTCATTTAACAACAACAATAAAATAGAATATCCCTAAGTAGAGAAAATTTATTTGTATGGAATAATGTAAAGGAATACCAGATGCTTTAAAAATTTAACGCTGATTATCTTGTTATTTATTATCTCTTTGTGTATGATTTTAAAGTCTAAGTTTACAGTGTGTTTTTCCTATATAACCGTGTTTTAAACTGCACTATGAGAACTAAATTCAGCCGTAGAAACATGAATAAATACTTCAAAAGCTACAGTAGCAAGGCTCACAAGTAAGGAAGGCCCATCCTAATTATTAGTTACCACAAATCTCAATAGGTAGGTCAGAGACTCCACAAGGAGTAATCCGGTCTCTGGGAACATACAAGGACTACCTAAGGGACACCCAGGCAGACAGAAGGCTCCCAAGTAATCAGTTTCCAGAGCCTCAACTACATACATACCCTATCTAAACATGATCTGAGAACACCCCTGGGGTTAGGGGTGATACAGGATCTCTTTTCCACCTTTGCTTTAACTTCACCAAAAAAAAAAAAAAAAAGGGCAACCTCAACCTCTCTCCATGGCTAATCTTACTATAAAGCAATCCCTGGGTTGAGAAAACCTCCATGATGTAAATAAAGGGAAAGGTGAACTATTTTTGTTGATACCAAGAAAGTGAAAGCCTCTAAAGATTAGGTAACAAATCCTTTTTCATTTCAAAATGATTTCCAAATCTTTGCTTTCAATAAAATTAAAGCAAAGTCTAACTACTAGATAATTAAAAATACTTCTGATACATTGCTAGGTGATTTTTGGCATCTAAATGGCAAGGAGTTCAAAGAATTGAGTGACATTACCAGAACAAAACTCATTACATTCTCCACTAATAACTTATGTGAACAAAGTTTTTCAGCACTTACGTAAAAATAATTCAAAATGGGAATAAAATTGACGCTGAATCCTGACTCATTCTAATAATAGTCACACACAGATGCATTGCCTGAAAAATAAGACTCGTTCATCTCCTTAATAGATGCATAATGTTAAATAATTTAGTCATCAAGACTTGTATTTTTGTTGTTTTGATCAATGGTGTACCGATTATGATTATAATGATAGTGCAAACCAGAAGATTTTTAAAATACTTAAGCCTTATGGTCAGGAAATTAAATTTTCATTTATATTTTCATTTATATGCATAGTTTTGTTTCAGGAAATCATGGTAGGGTAAAGCTTTTCATTCATAAAATATATTACATTAGGTTAAAAATCTGGGAGGAAGTTAAGTGATAAGGAAGGAGAAATTTCCAACTATTTAAAAAGAACATGTTCATCTTTTTAGTATAAATATGATAAGTATCAAATCTTTATGACATTCATATTCCACTGGACATATTTTAAAATGTAATATAAGAATTTTAAATGTCAATATTTACAACATGCCAAAATTTACATCATTTGTAACCATTAAAACTAAGTATTTTAGATGTTTAAAATTTAGGTATAGGGGCGCCTGGGTGGCTCAGTCGTTAAGCGTCTGCCTTCGGCTCAGGTCCTGATCCCAGGGTCCTGGGATTGAGCCCTGCATTGGGCTCCCTGCTCCGCGGGAAGCCTGCTTCTCCCTCTCCCACTCCCCCTGCTTGTGTTCCCTCTCTCACGCTCTCTCTCTGTCAAATAAATAAAT